TCCCTCGTGTGTGTCTGGTCCCTCTCGTACCTGAGCCGGTTGTAGACCGGGATTTCCTCGAGCAGGACCGGACTCAGGGTCTGGTTCTGGGACTTGAGGAGGACCTTGAGGACTTTTCCGTCTTCAGAACCGAGGAACAGGACGGTCTGGTCCCAGTGAGGTCCAGCGGAGACGTCCACGGCCAAAGACGAGAGTCTGGACCTGAGACCAGAGACCAGGACTGAACCAGGACTGAACCAGGACTGAACCAGGACTATAATCCAATCTAGACCTGGTTAGGTCTCAGGTCTCAGTCAGCTCTGGTCTGGTTCTGGTCTAGGTTTGTACCTGGGTCTGGTCTGGGTCTGGTCTGGGTCTGGTTCTGGTCGGGTTCTGTACCTGGAGCTGGTCTGGGTCTGGTCTGGGTCTGGTTCTGGTTGGGTTCTGTACCTGGAGCTGGTCTGGGTCTGGTTCTGGTCAGGTTCTGTACCTGGAGCTGGTCTGGGTCTGGTCTGGGTCTGGTTCTGGTCGGGTTCTGTACCTGGAGCTGGTCTGGGTCTGGTCTGGGTCTGGTTCTGGTCGGGTTCTGTACCTGGGTCTGGTCTGGGTCTGGTTCTGGTCGGGTTCTGTACCTGGAGCTGGTCTGGGTCTGGTCTGGGTCTGGTTCTGGTCGGGTTCTGTACCTGGAGCTGGTCTGGGTCTGGTCTGGGTCTGGTCTGGGTCTGGTTCTGGTCGGGTTCTGTACCTGGAGCTGGTCTGGGTCTGGTCTGGGTCTGGTTCTGGTCGGGTTCTGTACCTGGAGCTGGTCTGGGTCTGGTCTGGGTCTGGTCTGGGTCTGGTTCTGGTCGGGTTCTGTACCTGGAGCTGGTCTGGGTGAACAGGGGGCGCTGCAGCACAGACCAGACACTCGGGTCCATCAGGGGGAAACTTTTACTGAAGCTCAGGACCTGGTCTGGGAACTGAACCGACGACCTGAAGTCCTCAGCGGGAGGGTCTCCAGCACAAGAACCGGGCCTGAGGAGAACCAGAAGATTAAACAGACTCACGGGGCTGGTCTGAAAACAAATGATTAAATCAAGAAAAATGAAAATAAAAAACTTCTGAGCTCAAATGAACCAACGGACCAAAGGACTGGACCTGGTTCTGGAGGTTAGTCTGGTTATAGACCGGGTCTTGGGGTTGGACCGGGTCTTGGGGTTAGACCGGGTCTTGGGGTTGGACCGGGTCTTGGGGTTAGACCGGGTCTTGGGGTTGGACCGGGTCTTGGGGTTAGACCGGGTCTTGGGGTTAGACCGGGTCTTGGGGTTAGACCGGGTCTTGGGGTTAGACCGGGTCTTGGTCTTACCTGGGTTTTGGGACCTGGTTCTCGGGGACCGGGGTCCAGGACGAGTCTGAGGTTTTTTGTTCTTTAAATTTTCCGTTAAAAACATTTTCGATGTCGTCCATGAAGAAGGCGCAGACGGCCGAGCCCGGAATACTGCACACAAATACACAAGATATATACAAATATATATAAATATATACAAATATATATACAAATATATATCAGTACTACACTGAGCCGTAAATACTTCACACAAACACACAGTGTGAGTTTGTGAAAACGACACACGTCGAACACAACGTCCTGAGACGTTCAGGAGCCTCACGGAATTTATATAGTCCACAAGAACAGTGTTTGTAGTACTAGTAGTAGTATTTGCAGTAGTAGTAGTAGTAGTAGTAGTATTTGCAATAGTAGTAGTAGTAGTAGTAGTAGTAGTAGTAGTACTTGTACCTGTTGGTCTGTGTAGTAAAGACTCCGACCACAGTGGGGCGCCCTTGAATCTGCAGAACGTTTGTGATCGACTGAAGAACGTCAAAGTAAAAGAACGAATCTCCAGGAACAGAACAGTTTAAACGAGCCTGGAACAAACACAAATATATATATATATATATATATATATATATATATATATAAAAATATATATGTGTAAAATATATTTTAAAATATATAAATCTACTATAGACACATGTACATTACACTGTAAACAATGTAAACACAGAACAGTTTAAACAAGCCTGGAACATACACACAATATATATATATATATATATATATAAAATATATATGTGTATATGTAAAATGTATAAACACAGTACACACTCATGTGCACAACCATTACACTGTATATACATGTATAAACTGTAAACACTTTCAACAAACCCAGAACAGAAATATGTGTAAAATATATGTAAATATATATGTTTAAATATATAACTACACACACACACACACACACACACACACACACACACACACACACACACACACACACACACACACACACACACACACAGACACACACAGACACACACACACACACACACACACACACACACACAGACAAACACACACACAGACACACACAGACACACACACACAGACACACACACACACACACACACACACACACACAGACACACACACACACACACACACAGACACACACACACACACACACAGACACACACACACACA